CAAACATATTAATAACATATTAAAAATAAATACGTTTAATTTTATAAATACGTTTAAAAATATGTTTTGTTATATATATATATATATATATATATATATATATATATATGTATATAAATTTATTAATTACCAAAAATTTGAAAAAAAAAAATATTTTTTTGCAAAGGACCGTCCGTAACCGGTTATGGGACCGGAACCGGGACCGGACGGCGTAACCGGTTATGGGAAAGCATGACCGGTTATAGTGTTTTTCATCGGAACCGGGACCGGTTATAGAGGGACCGGTTATAGACGGTTTTTGTCCCGATTAGGACCGGCCATAACCGGTTAAGGCCCGGCCGGGGACCGATTTTTGGCCATCTCTAATGTAGGCTGTACACTTGTACGATAGTGCTGACATGACATTTTTTATTACAGCATTGTACTTTCAAAATTATTTTATTATAAGATCACCAATTTCTATTACAACATTATACTTTTAATATTTTTATCATTTAAACATTGTAAATTTAATGGCAAAATGCGCAAAAAATATAATATCATAAATTAAACATGTTTATAAAAGATCACTATTTCACGAATAAAAATATCCAAAAAAAAAAAAACATTCATTCATCGAGTTCATCATAAATTTCATGGTTTACTTTGTAATACCAAAACATAAACAAGTAGACATATTTTCAACAAAAAAACCATCCTATTCACATTCGTCTAACAATGTTATTTAATCAAGTGGAACCGCCTTGTCACAACTACTACCTTCTCCATCTTTCTCAATGGTATTTTTTCGTAGGTTGTTCAAAATTATCCTTTCACTTGACACAGAAGGAATCAATTCAATGGCACAAACATAATAAAATAAACCAAGACATTGACACCAGCAATATAAATTTGAATGATCTCCCATGTAAGATATCCTAATGTGATTTATGACAACTTTAAACAGCATTTTGCAAGAAAAAGCAGATTGTCACTGGAGAAATAACTTTCAAACATGGAGTCAGTAATAATCGTATAAACAGCTATGTCGCTTGGTTCACAAACCCCTGATATACTTGGTGATCGTCAATCTGGTCAAGATGTTCGAACCCAAAATAGTACGTGTCAGGGGCGGATGCAGTTTATTGTGGTAGGGGTCCTGGGCCCCCAACAAAAAGTTAACAGCAAAGCCCAAAAAAAAAATACTTGTATTTTTTAAATTGGGCAAAATGTGCAAAATAGCAACCTAGTTTCACAATTTTCTTTATTATAGCATTCTACTTTCAGTTTTTCTTATTACAGCAATGTACTTTCAAAATATTTTTTATTAGGACATTGTACTTTCAAAAATTTACCCATTATAGCATTGGGTAACCTGTTACCTTTTGAACAGGTTTTTCTTTGTTGACATGGCAAATTTAAAATGACATGGAAACCATGTAGGATAACAACATGTTATCCTGAATATCCTACTTGTCATTTAAAAAAAATTAATGTAAAAACAATTTTTGAAAATGAAAAACCTTCATCCCTCTCATTGTTTAGACCGTTCCTTCTCTTCCTCTTCTTGATGACTGTTCATTCACCCACAAACCCTCAATCCCTTAATCGCACACAACGTGTTCCTCTTTGGTCTAATCGACTCTCACCATCTTCTTCCTGATCAAATCTAAACCCTAATCGACTCAATCTCATCGACTTCCTCATCGCGCATCCTGTTCCAACAGGTAAGTTCTATATGTTTTACATTTTCTGTTTCGTAGCTTGTGTCATGAGAATCCATGTCTGTTTGCCGTATCTGTTTGCCATATATGTTTGCCTTAAGGAGGCCAAATGCCATATCTGTTCCAGTAAATGCTAAAAGGGCCATCGATTTATATGCCATGTCTCTAACCATTTAAATTTCCCAACCAAGTCGGTGGCAGTCGATTATATCAAGATTTAAAACACCCAATTGATTGCCCACAGAAATGTGAAGCTATTTCTAAGCTCAACACGGTTCGACACAGATTTCGAAGAAATGGTCGAAAGAGAACATATTTGGTAATTGAAGTACATGATATACTCATAAAATGTTGTTTAAAGTTGGTAATTGAACTATATAGCATCATGGTTCTGCATTYAGCCACTCTTCGGATAATCCAAGTTCTAAAAGCWAATTGGAGAGTTATAAAATATCACTTGAGGTATATCAATACCTAATGGTTACATCCACTTTTTAACCCATTTTTTAGGAAAACAAGTTTGATCCAGAGCACGCAAATGTGCATAAATCTAACATTTTGAGTTAACTAAAGCAATAAAAAAACAACATATGCTAAATACCTTGTCAAGTTAACATGCTAAACGAACGGGTCAAACGAACATAAATAAATATTATTTGAATTCAAAGTAATAAACAAAAGATTATATATTAAATTTAGTATATAAACGAACATAAACAAACGAATATGAACGATCGTAAACGAACGGTAAATGAACGAACGTTCACGAACATAAATGAACGAACGAGACTCTTGATCATGTTCGTTCGTTTAACTAAACGAACAAAAATATTTGTTCATGTTTGTTCATTTATTAAATAAATGAATATAAACGAACTTCCCGCCGAACGGTTCACGAACGGTTCGCTGAATGTTCGGTTCGTTTACAGCCCTAATCCTGGGTGTACATTTCCATTGTAAGCAGAATCATTAAGGTTTTAGAACTTCAACACGTACCAGGGGCGGATGCAGTTTATTGTGGTAGGGGTCCTGGGCCCCCAACAAAAAGTTAACAAAAAAGCCCAAAAAAAAATACTTAGTATTTTTTAAAGGGCAAAATACATCAAATAGCAATCTATTTTCATAAATTTCTTTATTATAGCATTGTACTTTCAGTTTTTCTTATTACAGCAATGTACTTTCAAATTATTTTTTATTAGGACATTGTACTTTGAAAAATTTATCCATTATAGCATTGGGTAACCTTTTGATTTAAATTTACCCATTATACTAGGTTTCCATGCCACCTCATTGTCCACGTAGGMTRTCCACATGTACTATAGTGATGTGACTTTCTTACTAYATCATTGTACTTTCAAAATTATTTTATTATAGCATMTACTRTTTCTTATTAAAAACACTGTATTTTTAATTTTAATATTTAGATATTTTACATGTTTTTTTAATAAATCTATTAAATGAATTAAAAAAATTCTAAATTATTCATTAATATACCAATATCAATAAAACTAGCAGAACACAACTTATTTCGCTAATATTTTAAAAAAATATGTGTTTTTTGAAAAAAGGAAAATAAGAATTGTTCTTTTTTTACCAAAAAATATTATCTTTACTTGACGAATATATTATATTTGTTTAAAAACTTTTTACTTGACGTATAAATATATTAAATTAATTAGATTTTTTTGAAGTATTTATTAATATAACAATATTAAAAATAACAATATTAAAAAATTGTAGATGACAATTTATTTCGTTAATATTTTAAAGAGAACTTTAAAATATATGTATTTATTTGAACAACATAAAATAGGAAAAGTTGTCTTTTTTACAAATAAAATATATCTCGAAAATAATGTTGCATATTTATTTAATAAATATTTTACTCTAAGAATATTTAATTTAAATGCAACCTAATAAGAAAAGTGAAAAAAAAATTAAATGTTTTTTTAGATAATAGCAATAAAAAATAAAAATCACTAATAATAATTTGAAATATGTTTTTATTTTAATTTTAGTTAAGTCATTAAAATGATGTGTCATCTACATCACCTCATTAAAGTCACACAAGCAAAAAAGTCAAAGGGTTAACCGGTTTAAAAGGTAACAGGTTACCCATTGCTATTATGGGTAAATCTTTTAAAGTACAATGCGTTAATAAAAAATAATTTGAAAGTACATTGTTGTAATAAAGAAAAACAAAAATAAAATATTATAATAAGAAATTTTATGAAAGTAGGTTGCTATTTCATGCACTTAACCTCTTTTTTTTTTTTTTTTTTTTTATTAATTAGGTGTATTGGGCCCTCAACCTTTGTGATGTAAGAGGCCCTCTTGAAAGAAGACTTGAACGAGACGAACAAAAAGAAGTCGGGAATGAGACGAACAGGAACCAGTCAACCAGACCAGGAAGGCAGGAACGAAAACCGGAAAACGAACCAGACCGGAACGAACGAACGAAAATCGACGCCGACGCTGTGCTGCGCCTGCTGCCGCCTGTGCCGCTGTGCTGTGCGCCTCCGGCTGTGCGAGTGCGAGTTTCTTCAGCTTCTTGCCTTCTTGGCTTCTTGGACTCTTGCCTCTTGGTAACTTAGGTAAAGATTATAATTTATAAATTGTAATTTCTGTTTCTGCCAGCCACTGTTAATTAGTAATTTAGGTTAATTTTAGGTTAATTTTGTGGTAATTGATAAATGCTTTAGGTTAGGTATTTCAGGTTAAATTTGTGGTAATCGGTAAATGCTTAATGCTTTAGGTTATGTAATTTTAGCCGATGGCAGCAAGTACAGATATGCTATCTTCAAAGATCTTGGAGAACATGTTCATGCCCATGTTGCAGAATTGCAATCACATGAGAAAACTGAAGAAAATTCATGCCCAAATTGTGAAATTTTCATTATCGGAGAGCAGTTACTTGGTCACAAAAATGGTGAACATATGTGATCAATATGAAGAAGTAGACTATGCAAGATTGTTAWTTAAAGAGGTGTCTCAGCCAAATATTTACTTATATAATGCGATAATCAGGGCTCATACACATTGCCAGTTGCATCGGTTCACCATAAATATATACAAGCAAATGCTTAAAGAACCAATTTTTCCAGACAATTTCACATACCCATTTGTTATAAGATCGTGTGGAGGGATTTCCAGTCTTGATGTGGCCAAGCAGGTTCATGGACATGCCTTGAAAGCTGGAGTTCAATCAAATGTCGTTATTGAGAATTCACTTTTGGATATGTATATAAAATGTGATGCTATTTCTCATGGATATAAGGTGTTTGATGAAATGACTGACAGAGATGTGATATCTTGGAACAGTCTCATTTATGGGYATATAAAACTGGGACAGATGAAAAGGGCAAGAGAGCTCTTTGAAGGGATGCCAGAGAAGTCGATCGTTTCATGGACCGCAATGATTTCTGGGTACACGCTAATCRGGAGTCATGCAGATGCGTTACACATTTTYCGAATGATGCAACTGGCTGGTGTTAAACCCGATTGGATCAGCTTACTCTCGGTGTTGCCGGCTTGTACACAGCTGGGAGCTCTTGAGCTAGGGAAATGGATCCATTTTTACGCAGAGAAAAATGGGTTCTTGGAAAAGACAAGTGTATGCAATGCTTTGATCGAAATGTATGCTAAGGGTGGAAACATCGACCAAGCATGGCAAGTGTTCGACAATATGCTTGAAAGAGACGTGATTTCTTGGAGTACAATGGTTGGAGGACTAGCCAACCATGGAAAAGCTCCTGAAGCAATACGATTGTTTCAAGATATGCAGAAGACATCCATCAAACCGAATGAGATCACGTTTGTAGGTCTTTTATCAGCTTGTGCTCATGCTGGATTCTTAGAARATGGACTCAAATACTTYGATTCCATGAGATACGATTATAATCTGGAGCCAGGAATTGAGCATTACGGATGCTTGGTTGATCTTCTTGGAAGAACTGGTTGTCTTGATAGAGCTCTTGAGTTGATAAAAACTATGCCCATGAAACCAGATTCCGCGATTTGGGGTTCATTGTTAAGCTCGTGTAGAACTAAGGGCAATCTTGCAATGGCGGTCATTGCAATGGAGCATCTTTTAGAACTCGAACCAGAAGATACCGGAAACTATGTGTTGCTCTCAAACATATACGCAGATCTTGGAAGATGGGATGGTGTTTCGAGGATGAGGAAATTCATAAGAGGTAAGATAATGAGCAAGACACCAGGGTGCAGCGCCATAGAGATCGACAATGCCGTTGAAGAGTTTGTGTCGAGTGATGACTCGAAGCCATTTTCTAGAGAAATTTACCGTATGCTCGAGTTAGTAGCTCTGCATCACATAATATCAAGTGATTTCTTTGAAATCACTATGGAAGAGACGTAGTTATCAACACTATTTTCAAAGAGGTTGCATCACAGATTATCAAGATACTTTTGTAATCAGAATTCGTTTTTTTTTTATTAACCTGGATATCCAACCCGCTATGCGAGCCGACTAATTCCAGGGCAACCACCTACTTTGCAGATAGTCCGGAGTCACCGCATTTGAACCTCCGTGGCCACAAGAGGGGAATTTTATTCCTCCTTGAATTTGAACCTGGAACCTTTTGGTACTTTTGACTATTGGAGTCAAGCTCAAACCAATCAGACACCACTCTTGTAGTTCAGAATTAGTATTAGATAATTATATAATCGAAGTGAAGGACAGTTGGGTGATTTTATAAAGATAACTATGCGATCATGAAACCAAATCTTCCGAGGACAATGGAGCATCTTTTAGAGCCTGAACCAAAAGATACCGGAAATTATGTTTTGCTCTCAAACATGTATACAACTTCATCGCTCATTTGTTTGTACCTTTAGTCGCTTCTTCTRACCGTTCAGCTAACGGAAGTTCGTTGTCATTATACATTACAGACAAAGTTCCATCACAACCCGATTCAGCTGAGCTTCCTTCCATCTTTGGCACACAYGAAAGCTTTGAAACTTGTTCTACCAAGTTATCATCTCGGTCTCCATCCTCTTGCAAGAATCTCGGCACCGTATCCAGAGGAGAAGTAGTTTCTTCAAAGTTCAGGTTTTCGGCTTCTGATGCAGCACCTATTCATGATTTTTGGAAAGAGAAGAAGGGTTCAGACTTGAGGAATCCAAAACCCTAAACCCTAAAGTTATCAAGAGAAGTAGGGTTAACCATGAAAGTGCTTGCTCTGGATTGATGACCCCTGGTACATGGGCTTTTTGAGCCATACTGTTCCTGGGAACACCATGAGATTGGTTTTGTCGAGACTCTTCTTCTCATCGGCTTCCAATGGTGAGAAACCGAACCCCTCGGTCCATGTCTCAACTACGCTCGGGATGGCAGATACGACTAGCTTCTCGACTTTCATGGACTTGAGCATMTGACAACAAACCAAAGCGAACTCGAACATGTTAATGAATCAGGACCAAACACAAGCTCAGTACCAAGATGCATGAATGCTCGACTAATTCCGTGGGACCCAGAAGATAACTGCTAGGAAATYCCTAACTAGACTCAAACTAGTGGGGTTCTCGACTTAATTATTTTTTTTTTAAATTACAAAAATAACTCTAAGATACATTTTTTTCAAAAGAAAAACCATYTATTTCTCTAATTTTTTCAAGGAAGGAGAAAGGGCCATGTGGGCCCCACAAAAATCTTGGAAAAGTTGTTGCCGATGAGACCATTTGGCCGGTTTTGTGAAATGAGGGGGGGATTCGTGAGGGGGGTTTCAAAACTGGCGTGTGGGCCATTTCATGAAATGTCTCACCGAATCCCTCCTCATTTCACGAAACCGGCCAAGGGGTTCCATTAGCAAACGTTTCCAGATTTTTGTGGGGCCCACATGGCCCTTTCTCCTTTCATGAAAAAATTAGAGAAA